CGTTATCCAGGCGCTGCTATTTATTAGATCAGATTATCTTCCTTTTTGAAGCATTCGTAATTATTACACTATTACTAGGCGTAGCTTAATAACTTCAAAGGGTGATTCTTTAATTCTTTGGTAATGTCTCTTAAAATGTTTCAACTAAATTGTTAAGGCCTTTAGCATCAATGTCTGTAATCGTTTATTACCAATTGACAGAGTCTACGACTTATGAAAACTGTGAATCTCCTTGAAAAGCTCACAAAGTATTGCATTGGAGTTAGACATTCTGTGACTCTGTACTTCAAGATGTCTGAGGTTATCTTTGTTTTGTAAATTCTAAACGTTAATGAATATTACCTCTAAACCGAAGGCCAAGAGAAAAGATGGTTGGCATTTGAATCAAATGGAACATTGTGGATAAGCATGGATCAAGTGAAGGCTGAGTTTCACAAAAAATATACAAAGCTCGACTCTCCGCAGCAGAATGCACAGATTGAAGATAAATTGCAAGAAACATGAAGGGATCCTGCGCTTGAAGCTCGAAGAGAAATTTGGACCACGTAAAGGTGGGCATTACGTCATCCCATTAGACAGTCTTCATTTGCTGCTACAGAAGCAGAGTGTGCTTCAACTACCACAAGCAGCAGTCGCCAATGTGGAGGCGGGCACAAGTTACGAAGCAGCTTCAAGCATGCAGGATGGAGTGTCTTCATTTGAAGTATTTTTCGAAAAGCTCCAGGAATTCTACACGGATGAAATAAACCCGTTAAGACCATCAAACGGTATGACAGCAGGGACAATCGAACGCCACACAAGAAGGTTAAAGAAGTTCTTTGAATATGTAGAAGAGACATATAACAGACCCCCACAAATGGAGGATGTTACAAACATCAACTTTGTTAGGGCATATGTGGCGGAATTGAGGAGGGAGCTAAACGTGGGTACAGTTGCCAACCATATTCAAAGCCTGATAGTGGCAGCAAAATATATTCTGAAAAAAGAGGGCCTAACAAAAAGTTGGCATGAAATTGCAGAAATAACACAATTGAGGCACATGCAGGCCCAACTGCAAGTGAGTATTCCAGTTCACCTTAGCTATATATATTTTCGCTTTTCATTAGAAATTCTACAATAGGAACTTGAGTTGCATTTCATTCTATATCATAACATTAAATTCTGGCTGCCTAAATTCTACTGTCAAGAATGGTTGATGAAGCCAGCCGAAGTAGAGTCATTTAGTATATTCAATTTTTTTTGAAATTCTTTTTGACTACATTGGATTTTCACCGTCCTGTGGCTTAGTTACCGGCTATTATTCCTATTTTAATCAGCGGACAGCATATCCTGCGTTCCTTTCTATTTACACATACATTTTACACATCGCTTTTTGATATTTTTAGTTTAAATTTACCACTGTTTTTTTAGAGCCTCTATGAGAGAGAGCGGAGACAAAGGTACCCGGAAGCCGATGAAAGAAAGAACTTTGAATGGAAACAGGTTTTAGAAACATTAAAATTGATGAGGGACAGGATAATTTCGTCGAAAGAGATGGATGGGTATCAAAAGGCAAGGTTATACCATGATTTTGTAATACTTTTATTGTTCACCACAGTGAGCCCATCAAGGAATGCAGATTTGATGAAACTAAAAATACTATTTGACGAGGAACAGGGAAGTGTTTCAGAAAACTACATTTTATTTAAGGAAAATGGCAGCACTACAATGGTTGTAAATGATTTTAAAACGAAGAAAAAATACGGGTGCAATAGAGTGGACATCTCCAGTTACGATTATGTCAACCAACATCTACGTAAATATGTTGAGGAGGAGAGGGAGAAGCTTATGTTGAGTAAGAGACATGATTTTCTTCTAATGAAGGGCAAGGGGCAACCATTTGACACATCTGAGTCGTTTACTGTTTACATCGAAAAGGCGTTTCAGCGACACAATGGGGGCTTGAAGTTCACAACTACGACCCTCTGAAAAGCGCTCGTAAACTGGCTAATGTGCAACGAGAAGGAGGACGAAGTAAGAAATTCAGTTGCAAGACTCATGAGCCACTCACCACGAGTTCAGCGCCTTCGCTACAACACAGATGATTCAGCAAGAAAAATAAAAAGGGCCGCTGACCACCTCACTTCTAAAACATTGACTTTTTTGGGAGAGGACGATAATGACACAGAAACAGAAGCAGAAGATACCCCTTTATAAATTTCACAAGGTTTAACGAACGTTAATAATTACATTATTTTAGAAAGCTAAGACATTGCTAATTTCGTGTTTTAGCTAGTCGTATTTTAGAAATTATTTAACATTACTTGTAACAATATTTTATCTTTCTGATCCAAGGTTGTCAACATAATCACTTTCCTTTGCCTTTTTTCAATCTTTATATGCATGTTTGTATTATTGCCTGTGTCATTTTTCATTAAGTAAGGTTAATTGATTGATTTGCGGAAAGCTCTATTTACTTTTCTGACCAGCAGTTTATCAACATATCCAACACATTTGCATGCTTTCTAGGCATATCAATTTACGGTGTATTATTCTCTGTCACCAATTCTATATACCAAAGCAGAAAACGTAATTAGTAGATTGAAATGGGCATGCCGTAGCATATCCTTGGCAGCATTTCATGCTTTTTGTATGCAGAAACAAGTTTAATTGCGCACTTAGCATGAACAAAGATTATGGGAGCTGAATTGATATCAAAATGATCGTTATCTTTTAGTTTAGTTTGTATTCCAAGGTAAACTTAAATGACTCATTTCTAAAGAAATAAATTAGAAATTGGAAATTTTATCAATAGCTAGATCGTCAACGAAAAGGTTTTTTGAGTTACATAAACAATTTTGCATGGTTATGTAGTGTACCTAACCACCTCAGCATTATTATGATTATGGTCACAAAGCCTCTGCTTAATTTTGCAAAAGAAAGCCATTTCCAAATCGTTTGCTTTGATTTTGTGAGCTATTTTGTTTAACACTCCCTCTTTTCATAACAGTAGAAGATCACATTAATAAATGCGCCTGAGCCAAGTTTCGAAATGCAAATAGTTATGAGAAACGCGTTGACAGATTGTTCCGCAAATCACGTGTCATTTCAGCGTTTGGAGGCTGCGTTTTGAGAAAAATTTTCTAAGTGTCACGGTCTGGGTTGTACGAAATTCGTACTGCCGGAAATTGGATAACAATCAAGAGAAAAAACAAAAGGGACATTTGCATAAAACACAGGCGCAACAACGATTGACAAAGGCATTTACACCTCCCGCAGACTAACGACAATAGACAATGGTTCAAACCCTAACCTTTCAAAATCTGTGGTTTTTGAAACCTTTCCACAAACTAATATCTTCCTAAAAAAAACACAAAATGGGAATAGCTTGCAAAATGCTGCCAATTTGCCCGAAATTTAGCGTAGAATTTGAAAATGGTCTCGATTGAGACATTTCAGGCTGCTGCGATTTGAGAAAAATTTCAAAGTGTCACTACTGTGTGTAAAATGTTGAAAATAAAAATTTCGGGTTTTTCACGTAAAAGGCTAGTTTAACTGATAACAAGGCCTGGCACAGTTGGGGAATTTGCAATTAGGACCTAAATTTTGAGTTATTCATTGTTTAAGAACGGGGTTGGAGGGGTCGCGCTTGTTGTTCTGGAGAGTGAACTTGAGGAAGGCACGTTGCGAGTTGCCTTGAGAATTAAACCCAAAAACGGGACAGGTTTGGAAATTCAGTCAATTTGGTGGAAATTCAGTGTAGAATTGGGAAATGGTGTCTTTTTGAAAGATTTTGGGGCTTTATTGTTGAACAAGTCCCATGCAACAGGAAACCGTTTGAGTTTTCAGGCTGCTGCGATTTGAGAAAAATTTCAAAGTGTCACTCCTGTGTGTAAAATGTTGAAAATAAAAATTTCGGGTTTTTCACGTAAAAGGCTAGTTTAACTGATAAAAAGGCCTGGCACAGTTGGGGAATTTGCAATTAGGACCTAAATTTTGAGTTATTCATTGTTTAAGAACGGGGTGGAGGGGTCGCGCTTGTTGTTCTGGAGAGTGAACTTGAGGAAGGCACGTTGCGAGTTGCCTTGAGAATTAAACCCAAAAACGGGACAGGTTTGAAAATTCAGTCAGTTTGGTGGCAATTTAGTGTAGAATTGGGAAATGGTGTCTTTTTGAAAGATTTTGGGGCTTTATTGTTGAAGCAGTGCCATGCAACAGGAAACCGTTTGAGTTTTCAGGCTGCTGCGATTTGAGAAAAATTTCAAAGTGTCACTCCTGTGTATAAAATGTTGAAAATAAAAATTTCGGGTTTTTCACGTAAAAGGCTAGTTTAACTGATAACAAGGCCTGGCACAGTTGGGGAATTTGCAATTAGGACCTAAATTTTGAGTTATTCATTGTTTAAGAACTGGGTGGAGGGGTCGCGCTTGTTGTTCTGGAGAGTGAACTTGAGGAAGGCACGTTGCGAGTTGCCTTGAGAATTAAACCCAAAAACGGGACAGGTTTGAAAATTCAGTCAATTTGGTGGCAATTTAGTGTAGAATTGGGAAATGGTGTCTTTTTAGGAACCTGGAAGGGGAGAGGGTGGGATGTTTTTTATTCCTTCGGGAATAAAATAGTCTGAGGATAGCCTAAACTGTTTGCATGACAATGCTCGTGAGGGAGGGAGGTTTGCATGAATCGACGATAAACCCTAGTTGCAAGTGTTTTGTTGTGTGTTTCTAGGGTGGGGGAGACGGTTTTGGAAACGTAGGTGTCACAGAGAAATACGTAATAGCAAAAAATACATTTGTTCACTTACTTCGTCGCTAGAATCAATCCTAAACAACCAAATAGCAACCATGTTTCGTACCTTCGACCCACGCTGCACAGCAGTTTCCAAAACTAATTAACCCTGTGTAGACAATGGTTTGGTATGTGATTGTTGACAGGCATCAACTAGTATTGAAGTAGGAGGAGTATTGTAAACGAAAACAATACCACGCAATCTGATGCTACGTTTTCCATAAAAAGGGGTCCTCGAATGCAAAAAATCAGTTTTCATGAGAAGTCATGAGCGAAGTCAAGATGGACCAGGAATATAATGAAGATGGTGAGTACATTGCAGTTCACTTGTTTGTGCTTTTTGTTCTGAAATCTATTTGGTGCTTTTGGTAAAAAAATATTGTTTTCCTAGAACACTGATGAGACCATCATTGATCCATTAATCAATTATCAAAACAAATTCATTTATTTTCGTTAAATTAATTTATTTGAGCCAGCCCCCAAATTTATTGATAAGGACCAACTTTCCAAGCCCTGCCCCCAGCCAAATTAGTAAGAGCTCAGCCACTGTTGAAACAAACCGCTTTCTAGTTAGTGCCTTGTTTTATTTCAAATGATTTCAGCTACTGTAGGGAATCAGTTTTTTCTGCGTAACTTACATTCTATTTTTTTGAATCTATTTTAGTGGAGCAGAAATTTGGGGTGCAGCGTGATGCAATGGAAGACGAAGAAGACGATACGCAGATCGTAGAAGATGAGATCCCCCGCCCCAAAGTAAGAAACTCTCAGCACATTTTTTCAATCGTCAGAATTTTATTTTAATATATCAATGTTCACGCCGACCGAGAAGAATCGAGAATTAAAAAGAACAAACCCCCTTCTGGTGTCTTGTTGTATTTCTAGTTATTATAAAATCTCTACACCGTCTTTTTTCCGTGAATCTAACCATTTACTTTTTGGATTTCTTATAGTGGATTTCTTCGATGAAATTGCCGACGAGGAGAATACGCAGATCATGGCAGACGAAATACTCCAGATTACGCCAAGTAAATGCCCTCTTTCATTTATAATAATAAAGTATATAGATACATTCATGCTCAGAATCATCCAATTTTATGAACATCCAATTTTAGACTTGGCTCGCCTGATTGTTGTGCTCTGTCCGTTGTGATTGAAACCATATCACTACCTCGATAAAGACTGAAAAAGCTGACACTTATCTTTAAGCTAATTTTTTTTTTAAATATATCAAAGCTGAAAATATTTATAATAGACAGTAATTTTTCTAATTAAAGAGACTGCTAGGCAGCATTCACTAGTACCTGCACGACAGAATCATGTTTTTTAGAGAATCTTTTTTAAAATGTGACTTGCTCTTAACAACCTGGCTACAAAAAATCATATCTGTGCTGCGTAACTTTAACAAGGCTTTACTAATTAATAATGGTCGTTTCAGTGAATAGAGATTTATTTATGCCACTGTTATCAATTTTAAAGCATTTTGGGATTATTGCTTAGGTTAGGAAGGGACAAAGGCCGTTGCGAGGCACGCCTTTTTTTGGGGGGGGGGGGTAGCTGTAGGTTTAACTGAAGTTGCTTAGTTGCATAAATGGCATAAATTTCAAAACATCCATCTTTATGGTAATAAGGGACCCTCCTTTCCTGAGACTCATGTCACATCTGTATATCGATGCTTCCATTACCCTGCAAAGTGCAGTTTTTCAAGCAAATTTTACTAAAGCAACCTTCCTTTCCGTATTGAAAATTCATTTATATTTGCAAACGGATCTCTATTTCGGTGACGTATTATAACATTCTCGCCGTGAAATCTTTTAGTTTGCTATGTATCTAATAATTTTCTTTCAAATTTCTTCTAGTTGAGCAGAGGTCGGCAGTCGACTGCGACGAAAGTGTTAAGCCCAAAAGTAAGTGGAGTCTCCCTTCTTATAATTTTCAAACATTATTACTGTCCACCTACCTGATGTCAAAGGCTGCTTAGCATTCAACTCTTTAACACAAAATAGCCTACCCCCCCCCCCGCCGCCCTCCCTTCTTTTCAAAAAGACTTTTCAACAATGAACTTCCCCCCCGTCACCCTCACCGCCCTCCCCTCTTTTCAAAAAGACTTTTCAACAATGAACAGATACCTTGCAAGGATTGTTTACCAATGTATTCTACAAAAATCACTCTTAAACTTTAAGCAAAACGCTATCAACATGGCTAAGCTGGGTCTGCTTTTATCAGTCAAATGTAGACGTGAATATTTTTTTATTATCATCATTAAATTCTTAAAGCAGGCACATATCTATATATATAAATATATACCTACATTTGTTCATTGACGACTGCCAAAACAAATTGAAACTTACTTATTTAATTTCAAGTGCAAGTTTATCTATACAAACATATGATATGTATATTTATGGCGAGTTTTTCAAGTAAGTAAATCAGCAATAAAGCCCTATATTGCCAGTCGCCTGGGTACGCTTGAAAAAGACCTCCCCCCGCCCTCCCCTCTTTTCAAAAAGACTTTTCAACAATGAACAGATACCTTGCAAGGATTGTTTACCAATTTACTCTACAAAAATCACTCTTAAACTTTAAGCAAAACGCTATCAACATGGCTAAGCTGGGTCTGCTTTTATCAGTCAAATGTAGACGTGAATATTTTTTTATTATCATCATTAAATTCTTGAAGCAGGCACATATCTATATATATAAATATATACCTACATTTGTTCTTCGACGACTGCTAAAACAAATTGAAACTTACTTATTTAATTTCAAGTGCAAGTTTATCTATACAAACATATGATATGTATATTTATGGCGAGTTTTTCAAGTAAGTAAATCAGCTATAAAGCCCTATATTGCCAGTCGCCTGGGTACGCTTGAAAAAGCCCTCCCCCCGCCCTCCCCTCTTTTCAAAAAGACTTTTCAACAATGAACAGATACCTTGCAAAGATTGTTTACTAATATATTCTACAAAAATCATTTTTAAACTTTAATCAAAACGTTATCAACATTTCAACGTAAAATGCAACATTTTTAACGACTTTTATATGAAATATCTACAAAGTCATTTAAAGACCTGATCAATAACACGTAGCTAAATCTTGTGCTACTGAACAGGAGGCCAGTCACAGTTAGAGAACAAAGAGAAGAACTATTCAAATCAAAAATCTACACCACCTAAAGTGATTATTTGTATGTAGGTCTGTACATAATCATGGATATAACCTCTTTTTAGAAAAGAAGTCCAAAGCCTCATCATTTATAATAGCACAAGCAGCACATGACAGTGCTATGAGCGACGACGAGGAGGATGACAGTTGTAACAGCCACCCTAGTTTTATAACGGACACGGCAATGTCGCTGGAGGAGCTGCCAGAAACAAGGTGACATTAACAACTTTTTCCTAATAATTTGGGGTGCGCAAACAGATAGCTACATTTGAACAGTGATTCTAGCTTAGTCCACCTTTCGTTAAGAGAATTGAGCAACCCTTCCTATAAAAGAATTACTATAAACCTGCACACCCATCTGTATGTGTCGTTCCCTATCATATGCCTATGATTGCATCAATGGTCTCTTGGCAGCATATTTAGCAACAAGCTTCATACCTAGTGATAAGAGGAGAGGGGTTGGGAGGGGAGCAGGAAGAGGGGAATGTCTAATCTGATCTAATCTAAGGGAAATTTCCCATTGTTCAAAGCAATAGAACTTCGACAGGGGATAAGGGCACTATCAATTTTCTGTTTAGTTTTTCGAATCAAAAACACAGTTCAAAAACATGACAAAGTTATGATTGATAACCTTAAAACTCGGTCTGTCTTTGCAGCATGATGAACGAGGCTGGTATCGAGCATGAAGAAGCCCTTGCCTTTGTCAAAGACCTGCAGGAGAAGCATAACATGCAAGTAGACAGTCACTCTGACAGTCCAAATGAAAGCGACAGCGACGCTGGTATAATTTCTGGAGACACTCGAGCACACGATGACTTCTTTCCTGCTGCATTTTCCACGCAACCAACGGTGATGGGGCCACTAGAATTCGATTTCAAGAAGCGGGTCTATGACACACTGCAGTTACCGTGCAGGCTGCAAGGAAACAACAAACGGCCTACGGCTGCGCACCCAAAGGCACACACATTCAAAAGTTGTGAGCAGTTAAATGCAAGCATCCGATGCTGGAAGCAAGATTACTCTTGCTTTCTCGACGCAACAAGAGACACTGCTGACGAGCAGTCTGTTGATGATGCGAGGAAATCTCTTAACAAGTGGGAGATTTTCCTCAAATCAGGCAAGCCGACAGACCAGATGGAGCCTCTGGTAACTGGTATTCTCGAATATGATCAATGTCTCCAATGCGCACGGGTAGACCTATTTGACAATGTTATGATATGGGGGGCACCATCTTGGTCAGATGTAAGTGTCCAGTTAACACACGGATTTCCACGCCGGCTCATCAAGGCCAAGCATGGGGGTTTTACAGAGACAAATGTCACATGCACTAGCAAGGTAACAAATGCGATGCTTCGGAAATTTGCCAAGGAAGACGTCTTGTCCCTCTGTTCCCAAGATGTAATTGAGAAAACAAGCCTTACAGTCACGGAGCTGGCGTACAGCAGGTTGTCATCTATCAACATCAAACAGGCACTTGGAAGGAGTAATGTACGTCTTCAGGAAGCTATGTACCGGTGAGTGCAACTTCATCAGGGCTGGAAAATGTCTAGAAAAGAAAAATGAAATTTTTAGCGTGAAATCTCCATAGCTTTATGTTATTATGAACACTCAATTCATGTTAATCTCATTCTACCTAACGCTGTTTTCTTGTCATAAACATACATACTGTATAGTTTTCGTTCTGCACTACTAACAAAAAATGAAGATTAGCTTTCAAAATACAATCATTTGATATTATCAGTGTATTGCGTTTCTTGAATTTCATCCTACCTATGCTGAATACTATATAATTTGGACTTGACTATAATGTTATTCCATGTTTGTTATTTCATTTTGCAAAGCGCATTTCGGATGGATGGCAGCCTTCTCCATTATCTCCAGAATTTAAAAAAGTGCTAGTTACAAAAAGTCTTAATTTCTCCCTAGGTATGGTATAGATTTTCTTAAATTCAAACCTCTCGGAAAAGAATCCCTCCGGGAGCTAAGCGAGTTTGTCCAGAAAAGACGTGTAAGCCACTTGCCTTCAAGCGAAGAAGATGTTAGTGAAGGTGAAGCTGAGGCTGACGAGCAAAGCTCGCAGTTGATGTCCGATCGAATTGTCAAAGAAGTGATGGGCGATGGCCGGCCATTAGAAAATTCACAAAATGAAAAACTGCTTACCTCAAAGCTTACTTCCAAGATGACTCACTTCAAGGAATCAGCTGAATCCAAGGGGAAGGCACGGCCATCGTCTGCAGCGTCATTGCCTGTAGCTGAAGGTACAATGCCAGCTACATCAGGGGAAGCCTCTACATCAGGGGCAACGGCATCCACAGCAGCAAAAGCAGCAATTCCGGAGGATTCAAAGGCTTCTAAGGTGATTTCCTTGACTGAGGAAGAGCAGCTACTTGCAATGCTGAACAAAGCTGCCCGAATGCTTGGCATTGACAGGGATGATTGGGAGACATTGCAGAAGTTGCACTTTGAGAAAGCTGCAAGTTTTTTATCAAAAGTTGGTCCCAACTCTGCAATCTGCTCATCGCCTGCCTTCACATATAACACCGACAGAACCAGGATAAACACAGCACTGATCTCTTACTTGGACTCGCAAAATATTAAGGTCTTGTGCAGGTGCACAAGACAGTGTAGGTACACGAATCCTAATGAAAGCCAGCCAACCATCAAAGACAACATAGGTTCAGCTTGCGATATCCCAGACTGTCCGATGTGTGATTTGGTTAGTCACGTAAAGTCTCTATTTAAAACTTGTCCTCAATTCTTTTCTTTTCAAATTAGCATTGCTGCTATCCTCTGCAATCTAAGACGCTGCTCGCAAGACAAAGACGCCTGCAGCACAGCAAAACTGGAAAGATTCGTATCCGACAGCTTTAACATAGGTAGAACGAGATTCTACCAGCTTTGCAATGTTGGTGAGATAACCAGAATAGCCCCGCAGTTAAAAGATGTGAATCCTTCCAAACATAACACGTGTTTTTGGGAGGTCTTTTCAAATTTGGGAGCTGTGATAAAAAAACTCGACGATCCTCAAGGTAAACAGTTTGTGATGTTGTATTGGAAGATTCGGGTGCTTGCCGTGTGTAAACTGTTAAACTATCCGCTAGATATCCTGGAGCAGTGGCTTCTGAAGACAAAGTCTGACTCCAAAGAACTGGAAAAGATTTTCCAAGAGAAGAAGCTCTTTACTGACAGCCAAGTGGAAAGCTGGAAAGAGGAGAACATTATTTTGTAAAAACTCATTTTATTAATTTTCATATTATTAAATAATCATTTGCAAAAATGACATTTTATTAAACAGAACTAATGGTCGTCAGCATCACTTAAGCAAGGGTACATGAACCTAGGGTTTAAGAACTTTCTTGCAGAAATTTGCCTTTTCAATTCTGCAAACTTTACACTTCTGTTAAGCCAAGCAATCTGGTATAAGCTCATTTTTGTGGGACGTAACTAATTAATTAAGATGTATTTTTACCAAAAGAACCAAAAAGGTAACAGAAAATTGAATTGTTGAAATAGAACTATGTTAAATATATGTTAGATATTATGTTAAATATCAGCTGTTATTATGAAACAGTTCTTGCTATAATTTGTGTGTCAAGCAGTGGTTGATTATTACAAATTTATGCATCAAATGTGGTATTAATTTAGTGTTCCTTGATCTAGAATAGACCGATTATGTTTGAAATCATGTTAAACTGGGGTTAAAGGAAAATACCTATAGAGCATCTGTGAATGTGAAGGCTGTTTACAAGTAAATTCACTATGTGGAAAAGCTCAGAAAAGTCAAATAGGTGCTTATCGTAATCATAGCGGGGCACAATGTTAGTCGCCCCGGTATGTGCAAATCACATTGATAAAAGAATGCAACCCATAATTAAAATTAGATTGGGAATACAATATAGAAGGATGGTTATCCCACCCCTTTTGTATCAAGATCATATTATGTTTGCATCTATATCTATAGAGAAAATGCAGCAATTTATGAATATAAATTAGGAACCTCAAAAACAAAATCTTATAAACTTAATCATTGATAACAGTATAAGAAGAAAATGACTTCTAAGAACAAACATGGTAAGGACTAAAGTACCCATATTAGGAGATATTTACTTAGGAGATATAGAGAAATGCATAAACACTACAAAAGTGAATAGAAACTAATTAAAAGATAGAAACAAATTAAAAGATAGAAACAAATCTTACCACAATATCGGTTGATCATAAATCTAGATTAGGCACACAGCAACAGCTAGGTAGATTGAGATTCAGTCTGTGTCTACAATTTCAAACAAGTCTTTTTAGTGTAGTGAAATCATGAAATAATGAAATATGCTCAATAATTTAATGTTCCTTGAGCTAGAAAGGACAGATTATGTTTGAAATAATGTTAAACTGGGGTTAAAGGAAAATACCTATAGAGCATCTGTGAATGTGAAGGCTGTTTACAAGTGAATTCACTATGTGGAAAAGCTCAGAAAAGTCAAATAGGTGCTTATCGTAATCGTATCCGGGCACAATGTTAGTAGCCCCGGTATGTGCAAATCACATTGATAAAAGAATGCAACCCATAATTAAAATTAGATTGGGAATACAATATAGAAGGATGGTTATCCCACCCCTATTGTATCAAGATCATATTATGTTTGCATCTATATCTATAGAGAAAATGCAGCAATTTATGAATATAAATTAGGAACCTCAAAAACAAAATCTTATAAACTTAATCATTGATAACAGTATAAGAAGAAAATGACTTCTAAGAACAAACATGGTAAGGACTAAAGTACCCATATTAGGAGATATTTACTTAGGAGATATAGAGAAATGCATAAACACTACAAAAGTGAATAGAAACTAATTAAAAGATAGAAAAAAATCTTACCACAATATTGGTTGACCATAATTCTAGATTAGGCACACAGCAACAGCTAGGTAGATTGAGATTCAGTCTGTGTCTACAATTTCAAACAAGTCTTTTTAGTGTGGTGAAATCATGAAATAATGAAATATGCTAAATAATTTAATGTTCCTTGAGCTAGAAAGGACAGATTATGTTTGAAATAATGTTAAACTGGGGTTAAAGGAAAATACCTATAGAGCATCTGTGAATGTGAAGGCTGTTTACAAGTGAATTCATTATGTGAAAAAGCTCAGAAAAGTCAAATAGGTGCTTATCGTAATCGTATCCAGGCACAATGTTAGTCGCCCCGGTATGTGCAAATCACATTGATAAAAGAATGCAACCCATAATTGAAATTAGATTGGGAATACAATATAGAAGGATGGTTATCCCACCCCTATTGTATCAAGATCATATTATGTTTGCATCTATATCTATAGAGAAAATGCAGCAATTTATGAATATAAATTAGAAAACCTCAAAAACAAAATCTTGTAAACTTAATCATTGATAACAGTATAAGAAGAAAATGACTTCTAAGAACAAACATGGTAAGGACTAAAGTACCCATATTAGGAGATATTTACTTAGGAGGTATAGAGAAATGCATAAACACTACAAAAGTGAATAGAAACTAATTAAAAGATAGAAAAAAATCTTACCACAATATTGGTTGACCATAATTCTAGATTAGGCACACAGCAACAGCTAGGTAGATTGAGATTCAGTCTGTGTCTACAATTTCAAACAAGTCTTTTTAGTGTGGTGAAATCATGAAATAATGAAATATGCTAAATAATTTAATGTTCCTTGAGCTAGAAAGGACAGATTATGTTTGAAATCATGTCTACCATATTTAATTTAAACTGGGGTTAAAGGAAAATACCTGTTTAATCAAATGTCATAATCAAATGTCATTTCGAGTCATCTTGAGCTCACTACACAAGTGGAAATTAGGACGACAGCTAACATTCTCAAGAGGTCCTTGAAAAAATATGAATCTCTGGCAATCATCTAACATCTCACAAGTTTCACTCACTCTGAAGTACAATTTTCTCGCTTCTGTAAGAAAATGTCTCCACTGCTGCTTCCCAACAACAAAGATGGCCTTTGACATGTCCCTAGCTTTCAGGAAGGGAGGTTGCTAAAGTTCTCTTCCTCTAGCTGCATCTAATGAAGTGCTCAAGGCCCTGTTGATTGCCCCTCTTGTCTAATAATTGTTCGGCTGAAATTTAATATCAAAATGCAAACCGAGGTTTTTGCTTTCCAATAGAGAGTATGCTGAAAAGTTTTTTTTATTCGATATAAAAAGTTACAAACGAGACTACCGAAAACTTTACTGAATGGAAACTGCTAAACTACATAACAGAGGCTCCTTAGCACAAACAACAATGTTAAAAAACGAATGGAGATTAAAGATTTTGTTCCTGCATTATTCGAATCCTTCGGAGGCCTGTATG